TCAACATCTCATACATTTTGAACCTATCTCTGATATTATTATCTCTCGAGGATTATGCTTGTTAACGGTGCCCTATTTGGCATCCTCCCTAGGTATGTCAGGTGACATTTGACACTCCTCTCTTGAGAGTGGCAAGACTCTATTTATAGAGTCTCGATTGAAATTAATGAAGGAACATGAATCACTCTAATCAGAAGACCCGGAGAGATTCCATTAATTAGGCAGAGTTTGATGGACATTTGAGTGCCTTAAGGATAACAAAATTGAGCGATCTTCGGTTCGTATTCGTCTTGCCGAAACGCTCAATTCGACTATGGGCTCGCCTTATTCAAATTTTTTTTGATGTTCCAAATATGCCCATAAAGCTTCTAAAAGCAGTTTAATGTCAGAGTGGATGACCCCGAGAGATTCCCTTGATCACACGATGTTTGATATATATTTGAGTGCTTTAATGATATATGAATTGAGCGATCTTTTTATCGAGATGTTCGATTCGACTATGGGCTCGCCATGTTCAGAATTTTTTTGACCTTCCAAATGTGTCGAAAAAGCTTCTAAAAGCGGTTTAATGTGTTGATTTGACTCAAATTGAAGCATTTTTGGTACCATTGGGTTTGACTCATTGAACCGATCAGTTTGACTGTAAGTTTGTTTAAATCAAAGTTCTGAATAACTCTTAATCAAAGTTTGAATGTTTCTTGTTCGAAAGATTGACTCGAGATCTGTGTCATGCCTCGAGATTCGTGTCTTGAAGAGATCAATTTCTTGATCCGGTTGAAAAGGAACTCCGGTACGGTGATGGGACACTGATGAAGCATCATTTGCGATGAAGATTGCCCCCAGTCTAGAAGCGGTTTTTAAAGACTTGTCTGAATGAGATGTGGGATGACTACTCTACCACACTCCTGTCCAGAACGTTAATGTAAATGACTTTTTAAGACCGTAGTGAAGGTTGCCCCCTACCTGGAAGAAGTTGTGAAAGATTTTGTGTCTGAATAGGATGCGAGAAGACTACCCTACTAAAATCATGCTCGGGACGCTAACATGAATGTCATTTCAAGACTGCAGTAATGGTTTCCCCTCATATCAAAGAATGCTTCTAAGATGATATTTAAGATGCAAAGGAAAGTCCTTCGTTAGTTGGATGATGTTAGACCATTGGGAAATGAAGTAGGGGCTCGGTATCTCAGAGTTGAAGACAGTGTCGAATGGGACTCGCTTTTTACATATAGTATCAAGCTGATGCGTGCTAGAAAATTCGTTGTGGTAGAGTAATAGATTATTGTCTTAGCGTTGCCCTAGAATTCAACATACACTCATATGAAAGAAATAACCAATAGCGACATCACAAGTTTTTACATGGAAAACCCAGAAAGCGAAAAAACCACGGAGTCTGGCCCAACTAAAGAGATCCACTATAAACTTGAGATTACAAGTAAGGTTCCTTGTCTCGCAAGTGGGAAGGGTTACACAATTTTCAGAGCTATAAAGTCGGTGCACAGATGAACTTGTCGTAAGAAGTGGGTGGCGGTCGATGTTGATCGGCGGTGATCGGAGAGTGGTGGTCGACAGTTGTAGGAGTAGGAGACAACTTCAACTCCATCTCCAAGCTTCCGTCTTCTTCAGGCTTCATGCTCCTTCCCCTCTCACTAGAGGGGTAAAACTCTATGTATAGAGTCTCGGTTGCAATTAATGAAGTAATATGAACCCATCTGATTGGATGACTTAGAGAGATTTCCTTGATCAGATAATATTTAATAGATATTTGAGCGTCTTAACAATGTCAGAATTGAGCTATCTTGGGCTTGTTGGATTTTCTTGTCGAGATGTTCGATTCGACTATGAGCTCGCCCTATTAAAAATCTGTTTTACCTTCCAAATATGTCTGGAAAGCTTCCAAAAGTGGTTTAATGTCTTAATTTGAGCTTGATTTGACTTGGATTGGATTGATTTTGGTATCATTGGGTCCGTCTCATTGAATCATTTGGCCCGTCTCGTTGAATCAATAAGTTTGATTGTATATTTGTTGAAATCAATGCTATGGAAGACTTTTAATGAAAGTTTGAATGTTTCTTGCTCAAAAGATTGTCTCGAGATTTGTGTTTTATCTCAAGATTTATGTTGGATGTTGGAAATTGTTGATGGAATATCACTTATATTCATGTCATTAATGATTTGGATACTAGAGCTACTACTTGTGTTTGAACAGGAGGGTTGAGCAAATGTTTCCCGATTTCAGTTGGATTCCATCAGGGATTGACTTTAGGCCCATATCTTTTTGCTTTAGTTATGGATCCTCTTACTGAATATATATAGAATGATATTCCTTGGTGTATGATTTTCGCTGATAATATTTTTCTTGTGGATAAGAATAGAGAAAGTGTTCAGAAAAATAATGAATTATGGAGGTCTACTGTATCACCTAAAGCCTTTATTTGAGTAGATCTAAAATTGAATACATAAATGTAATTTTAGTTGTATTAGTTCAAGTGGCAAAGTTGTAACAATGGGTGATCAAATTATTTAAGGGAGTGAACATTTTAGATATCTCGGGTTTATTTTTCAAAATGATGGTGATATTGATTGGGGTGTTATTAGTAGAATTCAAGTTGGATGGTTGAGGTGGAGGAATGTATCGGGCCTATTGTATAATATAAAAACACCACTTAAACTTGAAGGAAACAAAGGAAACTTTTATATTGATTGGGGTATTATTAGTAGAATTCAAGTTGGATGGTTGAAGTGGAGGATTGTATCGGGCCTATTGCGTGATAGAAAAGTATCTCTTATGCTCAAAGGAAACTTTTATAAGATTGTGGTGAGAATCGCAATGCTTTATGGAGCATAATGTTGTCCTATAAAAGAGAAGCATAAAACTAAGTTAAGTGTTGCGGAGATGAGAATGCTTGGGTGGATGAGTGACTTTGCACTTAGAGACAAAATGTAAAATGAATATATCTGTGAAAGGTTTTGTGTAGCGCCAGTGACAGACAAGATTAGAGAGAGTCATCTTAGATGGTTTGGTCACATTAAACGTCGACCATGTGATGATCTTTTTAGGAGAATAATAGATGTTTTATATTCGACTTATATTAAGAAAGGTAGAGGTAGACTCAGAACCACTTGGGCATGTTGTATACAAATGATCATAATTTATTAGAATTAAATAAGACTATGACGCTCAATAGGACACAATGGAGAAAAAGGATTCATGTAGCCGACCCCACTTTGTGGGAGTTGTTTTTGTAATTTGAATGATGCACACTAATGAATATAGATCACTTGCATGTTCTTCGACCATTGTGTTGAATGCTTGATCTACAGGTTGAGAATGTTATTCGAGCGTAAAATGAGCTGAATTTTTAATTATCCTCCTTGAAAAAATCAGCTAAATATGATAAATTGTCTAAATCTACAAATTAAATAGCCTACTTGTGCTCCAATGATCATCGTGAGTATTTAAATTTAATCATTTGGGAATGATGCACTGGCTAAAAAGTGAAATTAACACATTGCTTTGAAAGTATGACAAGTTCTTTTAATTGTTAAAATTTATTCAACTGAACTAGCCTGCATTTGCCGTGACGCTATCCTAATTGTCTAAATTTGAATGTTTGAGATGTTGTGCAAACTGAACATAAATTCAAATGAAAAAGTGTTCTATCACAAGAAGTGTGCAAGTGATTTCAATACCAACATGTCAAACATTGTGAGGTGCTGTTTTGAGCTAGTTCTTCAACTGGATTTTCCTTGGAGTAAAATTTGGCATTGAATTTGGTTCTTCTTGAGTTTCCTTGAGGTTCATGTATTGCATGAATATTATTCTTGACTAGATTGAGATTTTTATATAATCTTGACTCTAATATTCTGATATTTTTAAATTGCCTCTATTAATTAGCGGTTAGAGAGGTGGTTGAGTTTTTTTTGGTCCCCATTGCCGATGTGTTCTAGCATATGCTAAGTTACAATATGCTTCTAAGATTAGCACTTTGATGCTCACCTTTCCAAGAAAAAAGACTGTTAGTTGGTGATTATTATGATATATTTTTCATTTGCATTAATTTTTGAGGTGTGTATTGTTAGAAAAGTAAGGAAACGAACAGCAGATACCGTCGCGAAGTTCTGTGCTTTACTATATTATGCCATATGAGATTCAATAAACATGGGTAGGATAATAGTCTGTGATCTTTCCTTCTTTTATTTTTTCTGTTACAATGACAAGAGTTTGGGTTTTCTTTTTTGCATGAGGATGACTATTGAAGTTTGGATGCCTAATTTATCATATGTTTAGTTAGAAGAATGCAAAATATGGTACAATTTTCAAGAGGTTTGTGTGACATTTTCATTGTGGATGCTGAATTTAGTGGAACCTAAATAAATAATTTTATTCTGCTATTGGTCAGTTCTTTCTTTACCGTTGCCTTTTAAAATTAATTAAAAATGTGGTTTAATACAAATAAAAACTCGATTCTTGGTTTTTATGCTTGGCTACAAATTAGTTAGGAATTTAAATTTATTTTTGCATCAAGCCCCTTTTCTTGGTGAACTGAATGCAGTGGTCAATTTCTTGTCATCTTACTGTGTAATAATATAGTACGTGGCAGGACCATTGGATGAATTGATAGTTGTACTGAAGAAAAATAATACATGCATTGTCTTTGTTTGGATTGAAGGAAGGAAATGAAATACAAATAATTTATCGTTTGATTAAGAATTTACAGCCATTGATTTGAGTTTTTCAACCCTTTCTCCTTGACTCGAAAATCAAACTTTATTTTCTACTTGTATTTTCTGTTTAGTAACCTTGTCATCTATTTTATGAATTAGAATGTAATTTTGTTGGAGAGTTTCAATTCAGTATTATTAATTGTCAGAAATGTTCACATAACGTTTTTGCTCTGATTATTGAACTATGATAATTATATATTTTCATTTTCGGCTATCAATTCTCTACAAATTCTATGCCACTTTGACTAATTGTGGATTTCTTTGTATTCAAGCTTCAATATGCAGTAAAACAGGCCATGGAAATGAATGATTACACAGCACCTTTAGCTCACAGAGAGTTTGTTTTTTTTGTGGTATGTATTTTTTTAATTATTGAAAGCATATGCTTTGCTTTTTGTTCCTATTGCTATGCTGCTGGATATCAACATGCAAGCTCTTCTTGTGCCGTGAATCTCAGGCATCTACTATAATCTTGTTTCCCTTGACGATGGCTTGGGTCTTATGTTCATCGTTTGTCGGCTAACCAGAACAATTAACAGCTAATCAGATAAGATTTCTCTTGCTTCCTGCTTGAATTGACTCCGTGTTGGTAGTCTTGGTAGACCAAATTCCTTTCCTTGGCAGATAGCTTGATCGCCAAATAGTCATCCTTGTACAATCTCAATGAAATAATCTGTACCTATCAGAACGAGAATAATAAGTATTTTTCTCATTATATCTCACTTATGCTCTTCTCTTTTTCACACTTTTTTTTTATTTTTTTGTTTAAATTTGAGCATAATTTATCATCTGGCTATACTCGCGTGTAATAGGATAACATATCACCCTTGTGATAATCAATGATTTCTTTTGATTGACTTTTTAGTTTCAACCATCACATCTTACCTTTTAGTGCTCATTACCAACTACACAACAATGAAATTTTTATCTTAGTGCTTAATCATGTATCGTTCATGTAATCACACCCAATGAATGCAGCTAGCAAAGGAGGAAAGAGGGCGGGTAAGACCTCATTTGGTTAAGCTTCTCCTTTAGTAAAAATTCATTTAAAACAACTTGATTAAAAATAGTGTTATAATGTTGTTGTTGTTAAGGATGATATTACCGTTTGAATAAAACGCTTCTTTTGTAATTTCTGAAATAAACAAAACTCTTTAATAATGTTGAATATGCTGTTAGTTGAATGAAAGATTAAAATACCCCCTAATTTTTAAAAATTGCAACCCCTAAAGATGCATTAGACAAGGCTTCGCTCAAAACACTCCTATCCCATGGAGAATTGAGGCAGAGAGGTTGCATGAGCATTGTAGCAATATACAGTGTCGTCTTGAACAACACAGATAAAGACATGGTCGTCAATCCATCAGGATGGTCCCAGACCGTTGGAAGTAAGGACTCGATGGAATTACAGATATTGTGGAGCTTTTGACATTGCAAATTCGGCGTAGAGTTGAACAATATTGGGTCATCCCTGATGATGGCAATGGGGCCTGTAAATGGAGGGCAGTCATCGCAGTTACGGGTGAGATCCATTCCACCCCTTTGCATTGAGTAGATTTCGGCCTCCTGATGGTACCTGTTGTGAAGAAGCTGTAACTCCACTGTGACTTAAACATCCACCATTGAATCTATGGATTGGCACTTCATGAAACCCTACATCCCCGTCAGGAAGGAAAAGTTGAAGTTAGAGAAGGATGAGCTAGCTTCCTAGTGCAACAGAATCGTCGTTTACCATCAGAAAGTCTAGATGATGAGGAGAGGAAGTTGGTGAGATATGAAGGTGGACATATGAGATGGAGGAGGATAGATACACGAAAGAAGATGTAGATTATTCAAAATTTTGAAGAGAGTGCAGCACTGCAGATCATTATAGATGTTGATCGTGTCATCCAAGGTGAATAGATTGTGAAAGTGGAAGAAAGTGGGGGTGGTAATTTATGCGAGTTATTGTGATAGTTATTGGGTTAAAGTCGACGATTTCCATCTTATTAATAGATCCTGAACAGAGAATCTGAGAGAAAATCATGTTGGAAAGTAAGAAGAAAATGGAGTTTCGTTAGAAGGAATTTGATGTTAAGTAGTACAACCAAACAAGAAGTATAAGTTTAAATAAGGTGTTTGACAAAACGAAGTAGAGGTTAATAGGCTTCTCAAACGAAGCCTGAGTGAGTGAAGTGAGTGAGGAAAATTGTCCTGAATTTATTGGGACTATTCTCTAGCAAAAAAGAGGGGAGAATCCTGTTATATTTACTCCCCCTTTTATACAAGGGTATTCTCTTTATATATAATATACATAAGCTATGATTACATTCAATTCTCTAGTAATATCTGGCTTCTTCGATTAATCTTTTACTATCTTGGGGGCTTGAACTATATCACATTTGATCTTCTATCCTCTGCAGATGCAACATTCAATCAACTTTTTGTCTAGTCACGTCAGGCACCTCCTTGGTTTTTTCCAGGAAGTTTCTTCAATTTCTGAAGCCATTGTGAGCAGGTCACTGTCTTAGGGTTCTTTGATAATTGTTCATGCTTGTTTACTTGTGCCTGAGGTTCTTTACTCGATCCCTTGCATTTGGAATGCTCATTCTCGGCCATTGTCACTCGAACAATGTATGTTCAAATAGATATTACTAGGCTGGATCTTCTTTGCCAGTATCTGGGCTGGATCCTCTTGCATGCATGGGCAAGGAGGGGAAGCCCTTTAACCGATCTCTTCATGTTATGACTGCTTTTGGTTACATATATTTAGTTCAGTGATTGTCTTTATTCTTTGAAAGTTGTAGTGTGAGAAGAACGAGAGAATAAATACAGCAACATGGATGAAAAACTATTGTTATGGATGACATGGATACTCCCTTGGATTATGGACTATCATGCTTATATATAGAGTGATGAGACATTGTTAGATTCATTTGCATTTCAACCTCTTTTCTCTATTTTTGGACTCAACTATAGGTTTTTGTTTGAAGCGCCATGAAGGATCTCAAAGAGATTAATACCAACATTCCATATGAAGGATTATTGTTTGGTTTATTCACCAAGCGAAAATGAGGAAGCAACATCAGAAGACAAACAATAGTGGTGAAGCGGATGAAAGGGAGTTCAACTTCTGCCTAGGGGGAAGCATGTCAGGCAACTCCTTGGGGGAAGGTTGTCATAGAAGTTGACTTACTGGTGACGATCCAGCCAAGGTCCCTCTTCTATAATGTGAGTGGCAATTGAGCAAGTGCTTGAGGGATTGTCCGCTCGGATGGCTGCTGGTGAATTAGATAAGACTCCTAGCTTCACAACTTTAGCATGAGGATTAAACAGTATGTAAAACTTTCAAAGATATGAAAAATAAAGCAGATCCATACTATTTTTTACTTCCATATTCCATTTACAGTATTTTTTACTTATAGCAAGCTTTACTGTTCTGACTATCACACAAAAAATGCTTGCCAATTAAATCTAAATATGGCGTTAGATGCTTCTGAGGGGAGGGATGATTTTATTCAGAAAGAGACCGACCAACAATCGTCACATGAGGTACATTTGGCCACAGTTGCCAAGAGCGATGAAAAATGTGGCGAATGAAGGTTAGGAGGACTCTCTTGCACTTAGATTTTTAAACATGTATGTGGATCTCAGCACTGTGTAACTTCTATTGATTGAACATCTAACAATGATGTTCAATCAAAACTGTACTCCGGATAGTTTTGAGTTATGATAGCCAGTGATTCATTGCTTGATTCACCACTTCTCCTTTTAGTGGTTCAATGGACAACTACTTTCCTTGGTTCAGGAATAATGGAATTGAGACTCTGAAGACTATGAGAACTCTTATGATGAATTCAGGGTCGAAGGAGGCTTCATTTGTATTTTTAGATTTGATGAAAGGTTACTGTTCTACATGTACAGATGAGGCTTTAACCGCTTCTTCCTACTTTGGATGCAAATAATTCTTCTTCTTCAAAGATTTTTTTTGGATGAAAGAGCGGATTCCATGGATCCTTTAAGGTGCAGATTTGGCAGGTGAGTCAACGTATTTGGATGCCATATATCCCTTTGATTTCATTTTTGTTAATGAAAAACCTCCCTTCCTTCTTTGTAATCTTTCATACTCATCTCTTCTTATGGATAGACCCTTCATCTTGCCATTGAGCCAGTCATGCTCGTACACGAGTGCTTACTTCTTTCTTTAGAGTTCCAGCTTGAATGACAGTTTCTTTCGTTCAACTCAAGTATACGATCTAGTGCATTGGCACCAAGTTTTTTATATATACTGAAAAGGTCTAGAGGATTGGTTGAACTACATGTTAGAGGCAAAAATGAAGCCATTTCATGTTCCCGCAGCTGCCCCTCCGCTTATTTCTTATTTGTTTGATGACACACTGATCTTTACTAATGTAAATATGAAATCTCTAAATACTCTAATGAAGTTTATGAACATGTATGAAAAGGCCTATGGATAGAGTATTCAAAGAGAAAAGAGTTGCTTTGTCTTAGGAAAGCACGTGGCACCTAGTAGAAATCACATCATCTCAGTTAGGGTTCAACAAAAATTCTTTATCAATGCAATATCCTGGGGTTCCTTTAGTCTTTTCTTAAGAGTAGCTAAAGGTTCACTGGCAAAGCTTTCCCCCGAGCTTCTTGAGTGAAGAGAACTTCTATCATCCAACGTTGAAGCATGGGCTAACAGAATCGTTCCCTAGTGTTCTTCTATTTCGTTCTCTAACTTTTTGATCTTACTTGTGAGCTTGCATAGGCTTTCATGATGAACGCGCGGGAGAAAGAAAGCTACTTCGCACCTTGAGTCTGCTTTCCATATTCTAAAATAGATCTCCATTGGTACAACTCACCCAACATTTGAAGCTTCAATTCACCCAATTCAGTGACCCTACTCTTTGATAGATGGCTTCACTCCTCTTACTGAAAAAGCCACTTCACTTGAACCTTCATGATGGGGTGCTATACTTGATTCAAACATCCCTTGATTGACAAATAAATTTGGCTAATGCTCATCATTCATTTAAATAACAATGTTACTAAAAAGAAATAAAAGAATATTAATTACAAATTATTGTATTATAGTTGAATAATCTATGGCTTTTTACATTGTATCTTGATATATTATATTACAACTGACTTTAATATATAGTTTTATTTATTGCAAAGTCACTATTTGGGAAGTGGTTAAGTAGCCGGCCTCGCCTCATGAGTGACTAGAGGATGTAATTAAAAAAATTTTATCTAAAGACATACTCATTGAGAGTAATTTCTTCGTGTTCATCACTAATATCCTCTAAATTTAGCTCCTCATGGGTGGAATCGAGTGGAATTCTTGATGAGTAGTTTTAGTAGTATTGTGAATATTAATAGTAACTTTAGATTTACTCATTGTGACTACTACATAGTCAACTTTATCTCTTGCGCTATTGAGATGTTGGGGTTAATATACCTGACTCGCTTGTCTTGCTAGAATGAAATGATCAAATTTAACATATTTTTTGTTCACTTTATCATCAATATTATACAGTTTACCCTTGCTCCACGATGAAGAACATGCCAAACCAATCACAGTTAAATAAGAATGCGCTTCTTTCGATGGAGCCGAGATATTCTAATTGAACAACTTATTCGAGAATCCCGTGATAATTTATTTCATCATCTGATTTATTGTTGCTTTAACACGAACACCACAAGTTTTTTTTTCCTTCTGACCGAGATCTTGTATGAAATTTATAACCAATCAAATCATAAATTTACCAAATTTTTAAAATGTGCATAGGTCCCTATGCAAGGTCTATTAAACCCTGATATGTTACTCCATTGTTCCGATCATGAATATATGCATTCTTAAGAAATCATGCTTTTATTGTTTCATTT